GTCATGAAGGAAGAATACCCATGTATACCTTGAATAGTCATCAATAATCACAAGACAATAAAGATTTCCTCCCAAACTCTTGTATGTGGTTGGTCCAAATAAATCCATGTGAAGGAGTTCTAGCACTCTTATGGTTGACATGAAAGCTTTGGTTGAATGAGTATTTGCAACTTGCTTGTCGGCTTGACATGCACTACAAAGCTTGTCCTTTTCAAACTTCACATCCTTCAACCCTCTCACCAAATCATTCTTTATTAGCTTCTTGAGTGAGCTCATCCCAACATGAGCAAGTCTTCTATGCCATAGCCACCCAAGTGTTGTTTTGGTGAATAAGCAAGTCTTCAAATTTGCATCTTCGGAGGTGAAATCCACTAGATATAGGTTGTTGTATCTAAATCCTTTGAATATCACTTGATCATCATCCTTCTTACATACAACAACTTCCTTCTCGGTAAACAAGCATTGGAAGCCAAGATCACACAATTGTCCAACGGATAGCAAGTTGAAGCTCAATGAAGCAACATATAGCATATTTGAGATTGAATGATCATTTGATATTGCCACTTTGTTCAATCATTTAACCTTGCCCTTTGAGTTATCTCCAAATGTGATTCTTTCTTGTTCATCTACTTCTTCATCTAGTGAGGTGAATATATGAGGATCACCGATCATATGTTGTGTGCAACCACTATCAATAACCCAATGACTTCCACCAGTCTTGTAGCTCACCTATACACAAGAGATCAAGCTTTAGGAACCCAAACTTGTTGAGGGCCCTTCACCTTCTCAACAAGTGACTTTGCTATCCAAATTTTCTTAGGCCTATTCTTGTTGGGAGGTCCTAAGAACATCACTTTCATTTTCCCACTAGAATCCTTTCTAAGCATGTAGTGAGCATTGAAGGTAAAAGGTCTAGCATGCTTGGTCTTTATAATGATCTTAGTGTATTGTTTTAGCAATCTAGCAAGATCATCATAAGAAGGTGATTCATATTCATCATCATCACTATCGCTATCATCATTGCTAGCATGTTCATCACCACTACTATCATCATCATCATTTGATATCTTGCGTTCACCCTTGGCCATAAGGCATAGGTGTGTAGAGGATGATGGCGGTGAAGATGAAGAGTCAATAACAATGACGGCCACCTTCTCGTTGTCACTATCATCATCGGATGAGCCACTAGATGAACCAATGTCCGTGAACCAATCACCGACGATGTATGCCTTTCCACTCTTCTTCTTCTTCTTGTGGAAGTCCTTCTTCTTGCCATCTCTCTTCTTGTATGGCATGTTTTTCTTCTTCTTCATTACTTGAGTCATCTTTCTTGCTCTTGTACTTGTTCTTGAACTTGTCTCTCTTAGGCTTGGTGCATTGGTGTGCTAGATGACCAAGTTCTCCATAATTATAGCAATTCATTTCGGAGATTGGCTTCCTTCTAGAACTAGTGAAGAACTTCTTCTTGCCATCGAACTTGATGCCACTCTTGTTTAGCTTCTTTAGCATCTTGGCGGTTTTTCTCACCATGAGGGCAAGACTTGCATCATCAACATCATCATCACTTGAGCTCTCATACTCAAATCTTGCTTTGCCCTTCTCTTGACTAGCTTTGAATGCTAAGTCCTTATCTTTCTTCTTAGTAGAGGATGAGCCATCTTGTGGAGTGATGTGCATGTACATTTCATGAGCATTGATCTTTCCCAAGATTTGTATCGGTGTAGCGGTAGAAAGATCACCTTGATGAAGCACGGTCATAATATGCCCATATTTGTCAATAGAGAGGACACTCAAGATCTTTCTTACAACATCGGATGGTTGCATTTGAATGAGTCCAAGCCCATTGACTTCCTCTACAAGAACATTCAAATGTGAATATATTTCATTAGCACATTCTTTAGGAAGCATTTCAAAAGAGTTAAGCTTTTTCATGACAAGATGATAGCGTTCCTCACGCTTACTGTTTGTTCCCTCATGGAGCGCACAAACGTCCGACCATAGTGCATGGGCGTCTTTGTGGTTCCTCACCCGGTTGAACACATCTTTACAAAGGCCTCTAAAGATGGTGTTTCTAGCCTTTGCATTCCATTTTTCATAATTCAACTCATCGCCTTGTGGGTGTGCAGCATCCTGAGGTTTTGGGAAACCTTGTGAGGCGGCTCTAAGTATTCCAACATCTAGAGCTTCTAGATACACCTCCATGCGGATTTTCCAATATGGAAAATCATCCCTCTCAAAGATAGGAGGAGGTCCATCCCTATGAGACATCTTTCACTAGGCGGTTAAGCCTAAATACGTGAGCACGTGGCTCCGATACCAATTGAAAGGATCAAGATACCCAAGAGGGGGGGGTGAATTGGGCTAATTCTAAATTTCTTTGTAATAATTAAGTCCTATGGTTAGCCCAATTAACCCCTTGTGCCTAGAAAGTGTTTCTATTGATCTACCTTACAAAAGTTTAGCAACCTAAGTTCCAATCCTACTCTAGCATGGCAATTCTATGAATGTAAATGACAAGAATTGAATTGCTCAAAGTAAAGAGAGAAGGAGAAACGCGGCGATGTTTTGCCGAGGTATCGGAGAGTCGCCACTCCCCACTAGTCCTCGTTGGAGCACCCGCGCAAGGGTGTAGCTCCCTCTTGATCCACGCAAGGATCAAGTGCTCTCTACGGGTTGATTCTTGGACGCTCCGTCGTGGTGAATCACCCACAACCGCTCACAACTTGAGTTGGGTCATCCACGAGCTCTCTGGATGATCACCAAGCTTCCAATCATCACCAAGCCGTCTAGGTGATGATGATCACCAAGAGTAACAAGCACGGACTCTCACTTGACCACGACAAGCCTAATAAGAAGGGTGGATGCACACTTTGCTACTCTTGATCTCACTAATGAAGGCTCTCTTTGTGATTCTCAAATCTCAATCACCTCACTAGGACATTTCTCTTCTTGTCACTCTCTAAGGTATTTCTCAGCTGTTGGAATGAGCAAAAGTACCCCCACACACGAATGGAGGTGGTATTTATAACACCGGCTAAAAAACGAACCGTTATGTGCCTCTGTGGGTTGACCGGACGCTCCGGTCAGTTCTCCCTGAACTCTAGTGTTTAAAGTATGACCGGACGCGTCCGGTCGTGATTTTCCCTCTCTAGAACCTTACTAGAGTCGACCGGACGCTGGCCCTCAGTGTCCGGTCACTTCACCTCACAGCGTCCGGTCGTGCCAGACGATTTCACTTTGGTCAAATGAACTGACCGGACCCTGAGCCAGCGTCCGGTCAGTATTTGACCCTCCATTCACTTCCAACTCTCGATCATATGTGAATGAAGTTTGCTCCATTGGATCTAAGGGCTATTTTGGAGCTACCTAGTGCTAGTTTTAGCAAGTGTGCACCACACCTAACCCACTAGACTCACCTAGGTCAAGCTACCCGTTCATACCCCCCTTAATAGTACGACCAAAGGAAAAACAAAGTCCTAAACTACTCTAAGTGTCTCTTAAACTCCAAACGACACTTAGAACTAGTCCATCCTTAACCTTGTCGTCCATCCTTTGAAAATCGAAACGATTTCCATCGTAGGGGCATGACCACCTTGATTGCCCAATCGATCTCCATTGCCATGACATAACTTAATTGCCTCTACAAAACACACGTTAGTCATAGTAATCATGTATTGTCATTAATCACCGAAACCTAACTAGGGGCCTAGATGCTTTCACGGTGGAACCATGGAGGGAGGGGAGGAGGGCGGATCTGCACCGCCACCCGCTGCTGCTGCTGCTCCGCATCTCCTGGAGGGGCCGAGCCGCCTTGCGCCATTGCCGGGAAGAAGAAGGGGAGGGAGGGGAGGGGCCGGATCAAGCGGCCGCCGCCGGGGAAGAAGAAGGGGAGGGAGGGGAGGGGCCGGATCCGGCACCATCGACGACGGGAAGAAGAAGGGGAGGGAGGAAGGGGCCAGATCTGGCCAAGGGAGGAGGGAGGGAGGGAGGGGGCCACTGCCGGGGGAAGAAGAAGGGGAGGGGAGGGCCGGATCTATCGCAAGGGAGGAGGAGAGGGAGGAGGGGCGACGGAGGAGGAGAGGATCTCGCCAGTGGCCGGGGCAAGTCTTGGGAGGGGGGGGTGGAAGGGGACCTGGATGGGAGGGGCGGGCGGGACGAGGGGGGCTCGGAGGGGAGGGGCGGGATTTTATTGCGGGTGGGTTTTTTTTCTATATTTTTTTACTTTGCCGAGTGTTGATTTTAAGACACTTGGCGAACCTCCCTTTGCCGAGTGTTTTTTCGTGACACTCGGTAAACCCTCTATTTGCCGAGTGTTTTTTGTTTGACACTCGGTAAACTCCTCTTTTTGCCGAGTGTTTTTTTTTGCCGAGTGTTTTTAGGATAGCACTCGGCAAAGAATTTGTTTGCCTAATGCCTGAGAGAATGCACTTGGCAAACATAAAACACTCGGCAAATTTGAGGTTTCCGATAGTGAGATACAAGAGCATCGAGGTGTTTGGTTCACTTTTCACCTTCTAAATCTAGTCTTATTTAGTCATTTTTTACCAAACACTTTGACTAAATTGGACTAAATGGGCTTTAGCCAACTAATCACTTAAATGTTGCTAAATGGAACTAAACCACACATTTTAGTCAGGCTGCCTCACCTTTTAGTCACTTTGGAGCCAAACACCCTGACTAAAATGGACTAAAAGTCCTCTTTCAGTCTATTTTACTCCACCAAACTAAATAAGGGTGACTAAAGTTTAGGAGCTGATTTAGATGACTATACTTTAGAAGGTGCAAACAAAAAGGCCCTAAATGGTTTCTCCTGAAGAACCACAAAATCCTTCTTATTAAATCTTAATTAGACATGGCCTGGCATGTATATCATCTTTCTTCTCTGTTTCTGAAGCAGGAACACCATGCGCATCAGTTTGGATATAAACAGCAAGGGTATGGTGGAACTCGTAGATCGCCTAGGTCAATGCTTCCATTGGCTCAGGAGCAAAAACGTGCATATGTACGTCGGGAAGACCGAGCTCACCATCGAAAAGCTTGAGAAAGCCACGAAAGAACTCAAAGTCAGACTCAACGTCGCCATGGATTACATGGATGATGCTCTACGCAATGGCTGGTCACTGAAGCGGCTGGCACTATTATGGATTGAGGATGGGCTAGTGTACATTGGCCGTGCGGACGAGGTTATTGACAAGTACAAGAATCATCAGAGGGATGATTCCACTGCAAGCGATCTTCTTCATTGCCCCTGCGAAACCCTGTCGAGGCGCACGCTCAACAGCAGGGCAATACTGAGGCTGAACGACATCCTTGACCACACGGACGCAGGCAAGAAATATCACGCGGAGGAGGAGGGTGGCATGGAGGCTGTGGCGACAAAAGGGCAGAGAGGAGCCGGTGCCATCCGAAGTGATGATTGCGACTTGGAAGAGAGGTTTGCCAGGCTCGTATCTCCACCGGTTTCAGTTTCACAGGGCTTGCGTAACGAGGTATGTTAATTCATACATATCGTCAAGCTAACAAATAGCGGATTGCGGGTTGTAGCGGATTGAACTTTATGCTGCAGATTACGAACGGGCGCTACAGCAGACGCTAAGTTCCCATAGCATAGTCTAATAATCTAATATAATTTAGGTATATGTATATCTTAAAAAATATCTTTCTTACACATTAACAAATCAACTAAATACAAATTAATGATAGATTAATAAACATATATCCTAAAAAATGTAAATAGATATTTAATTGTATTCGAAGAGTTGATTCTCGATCAAATATATCTTAAATTAAGAATGAACTAGTTATATTTTCTGGACTTGGACCGCTATAGCGGACTGCTGCGACAAATAACGGCCGATATAGCGGCTTGCTACGTCAAATAACGGGCGCTAAGTTCCAATATGCTATATCCAAGCCGCTACGTCATTTGCGGCCGCTTCGAATGCTATTTAGTACCTTGATATAACTCCCTGTATTCTACGGGTAAATTATTATAGGTCCTTGCACATATGCTTTGCTACATGTACACTATGCTTTCTGTTTCAAATTACAAGTCATTTTTAGTTTGGTCTACAGTCATCAAACTTTATAAATGTAACCTGTTTTTTAAGAAAAAATACACCAACATCTATCAAAACAGTTTCATTAAATTCTCTATAAAATCTATCCTGATAATGTATTTATTTAAATGTCTAGAAATTAATATAATTTTCTTAATACACAGTTAAAGTTAGAGAAATTCTCTTTTTTTTGCGAATAAAAGTTAGAGGAATTCAACAAACTAAAGTGTTCTTTAATTTAAAAGAGTACTGTAACGACTGGATTTGACTTCGTATCATTTTTTTTCCTGAAGCCAACAACCTTCGCCGTGCCACCTGCAGATGGTTACTACGCCGGGGCACCATCGCCAGTGGTCAACGGCCATCACCAACGTGAGGTACCGCTACTTTCTTAGTCCCTTTGACTATTTTAGTACATTATTTTTAGTATACATCTAAACATATGTTATATTTAGAATTCTAGATACATAGCCAATTTGATGTGCCAGAAAAGTTAAAACGACTTTGTCGGTGTAGAAAGTGACCAACACGTAAATATTTATAGTTTTGCATTACGTTGTGATCGGATGTGGCCTAACACTCAATGACACATGGTTTATACTGGTTCAGCAACGTGCCCTACGTCCAGTTTGAGTCGGTTGGTAACTTTATTCCTGAGCCCAGGTCTCGAAGTTTGCTGTGGGGTTACAAACGAGTGGGAGTAAGATGGGGGTGCAAGAGGTCCGGTCGGACTCTGGTCTGAAGGGCCGAGAGTGACGGGAGCTCCTATGTGCGCTGAGTGTTCAAGTTGTGTTGTCTGGGGTTGATCGTCTGTTGGAAGAGAGCGCATCCCCTTTTATAGATCAAGGGTGCGGCCTTATAAGTGAGAAAGAGAGAGAGTGTACGTATGCTACTAAGTCTTGTTGCCCACACCGTCGGGTACAAGATGATTGTAGGCGTCCACAATACTATTGATGTCAGACGCATGTGGGAGGTTTTACTGTGTTCACCAGGTATGGTAAATGCCGGCGCCCACAACACTGTGGATGCCCAGATGCATGTGGGAGGTCTTACCGCGTTTTGCCTGGTACGGGAATTGATGGCGCCTACAACATTGTAGGGCAAATGTCGGCGCCCTCAACACTGTTTGGATTCTGACATGTCTGGAAGGTTCCAGAGCACCCTTCTGGCATGGTCTGATAGTACTGTCATGAAGGTGTGCAGGGTACGGTCCTCGGTATTGTAGTCGTCTTGAGCGCCCTGCCTTACTTGCTCTGCCCGTTTACTGGGTCCTTACCGAGCGGGCGTCCCCGGTCAGTTGGTCCCCAGTCGGCTCCGACTGCGCCGGTCGGAGAAGAGCTGTAAGCAGAGGTTCCGTGCTTCTCCAGTCGAAGAGGCGGGCCGGAGTCGGAAGCGAGCGCTGGTCCTTCTTGGTCACGCCTTCCGGTCGGAGAGGCGGGCCAGAGTCGAAAGCGAGCGCCGATCCTTCTTGGCCAGGCCTTCCGGTTGGAGAGGATTGTTCCTTCTGGCCTAGGCCTTTCGGTCGGAGACTGGATCTTCCTTCTGGCCTATCGTTAGGTATTTGGGCTGGCCTAGGAGTTGCGCGTCGTTTGCAACATCGTCTGCTAGGCCGAGCTTTTGCTGGGGAGCAGGCCCATTAGGGACCCCAGGTTTATGAACCCGACAGGAGCCATGAGCCCCTCAGCGATTCGGGTAGAATCGTCTGGGGGATTTTTGTCTTGACGGCGGGTGCGCGCGAGCGCACCCGCGGGTGTAGCCCCTGAGCCCTTGGGTGATTCGGGTGGAATCGCCTGGGGGTATTTTGTCTTGTCAGTGGGGGGGTTTCTGTTTTGACGGCGGGTGTGCGCGAGCACATCTGCGGGTATAGCCCCCGAGCGATTCAAGTAGAATCGCCTGGGGGGTTTTGTCAGCAAGCGTGTGCGTGTTGGAGTCGTGGATCAGGGATCGGGTGCAGTTGAGGGATCGGACGAGTCGGACTCGCAGATACAGGCGTCGAGCGCGGCCCCGTCGGGTGCAGCCGAGGCAGTTGAGGGATCGAGTGAGACAGACTCGCGGATCCAGGCGTTAGGCAGTTTAAGGGATCGGGCGAGATAGACTCATGGATCTAGGCATCGGGCGTAGCCAAGGCAATTGAGGGATCAGGCAAGACGGACTCGTGGATCCAGGTGTCGGGGTGGCTCCGTCCCCATCGGGCGCAGCCGAGGCAGTTGAGGGATCGGGCGAGACAGACTCGTGGATCCAGGCGTCGGCGTGGCCCCATTGGGCGCAGCCGAGGCAGTTTGAGGGATCGGGCGAGATGGACTCGTGGATCCAAGCGTCGGCGCGGCCCCATCGGGCACAGCCAAGGCAGTTTTGAGGGATCGGGCGTGGCCCCGTCGGGCGTAGCCGATGTAGTTTTAGGAATCGGGCGAGGCGAACTCGTGGATCCAGGCGTCGGGTGCAGCCAAGGCAGTTTAGGGATCGGGCAAGACGGACTCGCGGATCCAGGCGTCGGGCGCAGCCGAGGCAGTTTTAGGGATCGGGCGAGGCAAACTCATGCATCCAGGCATCAGGTGCAGCCGAGGCAGTTTAGGGATTGGGCGAGATGGACTCGCGGATCCAAGCATCGGGCGCAGCCGAGGCAGTTTAGGGATCAGGCAAGATGGACTCGTGGATCCAGGCGTCGGGCGTAGCCGAGGCGTTTTGAGTTTTGAGGGATCTGGCGAGACGGACTCGCAGATCCAGGCGTCGGTCGTCCCGAGGCTTTGAGCCCCATTGGGCTCAGTAGGGGTCGGTTTCATGCGTTACCCCGTCCACGGTTTCCATAATCGGAGGGGCTGAACTAACGTCGCTTGCCTCGATGGCTCGAGTGACGCGCCCGGTGAGCTCGCTAACGGGCATGTTCGAGTGAAATTTGGGTCTGTCGTTCATGACGGGGTCGGCATAGCCCTCATGTGGCATTCCACTACTCCTTAGCCCGCGTCTCGGCAGATGCTTGGGTCATTCCAGAGACTGACCCAGGTGGCCCGCTGGCCTCCCCTCGATGGAGATTCTATGGGCATGGCTCGAGGCTAGGATCGAACGAGAAGGTTGAGATGACCCTGTCTACTTCAGAGCAGATTGGGCGAGGGCCATTGGGGCTCATCTGCATTTTTCTTCCCTGGCTCTGTTTGATGCGAGGTGGCCTCGAAGCCCTTCGTGGGCCAGCCTTCGAACCCCGGTCGGTCGTTGCTCATGTTGAATGAGGCAACTACCGCTTCGTGATGGAACACGAAGCATTGTGACGCATCGACTGCATATGCGATGCTTTGGATGCATGGGATGAATGAATGAATGCGTGCATAGATGAATGTGTGAACGCGTGTATGGGAAATGATGAATGAATGATCATGTAAATAAATGAAATCGAAGTTTTTGGTAAATTCCCTTGATGACTCAAGTGACGGGTTTGAGGAGCTTTTGTCGGATGTGTTCGACCGGGATCCACGTCCACCGTTCATGACGGAGTTGGCTTGGCCCACATGGGGCATCCCTCTACTCTTTACATGTCTCTCGGCATTCCCCTGAGCCGTCCGATCGACTCAGGAAGTCTGTTGGTCTCTCCTAGATAGAGATCCCGTCGTTGGGCTCTTCCAAGGCTTGCTTGGGAAGGTAGAGGACCGCCTGTGCGCAGTGGCGCTTTGTTTTCCCACGCTCGGCGTGCGGTAGTGGTGGGCCATGCCTGAGCCACGTTCCGTCTAACCAGGTGACGTTTCGTCGGGCAGGGCGCATCCCATTAGTCAGGACACGTCCCGTCGCATTCCCATCCGCATTGAATAGGGGAAGGGAGAGGGTTTTTCACCCCAATCCTTTGCCCTTCTTCAACCGCTGCATCTCCTCCTTAAATAGGGGAAGAGAGAGGGAAAGGAGAACTCATAGACCCGTTCGTGAATCCAGAGCGCAATGTCGAGCTGGAGGTCATCCAACGTAGATGAGATGGTGCTGGCCGCCTTCGCCGAGAAGGGGCTGCTTCCGTCGAAGGAGGTGGCACACTGGAGGGTACTACACATCATCGACTTCATCACCGTTTGCGAGGCCTTCGTCGGGATGGAGCCACACGTGGACTCCTTCCGACGAATCTTCTCCGGGCGAGTCTTGTTGGAGGGGAAGCCACCCAAGACTGCGTTGGTGGGGGGTTTTGCCCTTGCAACCGCTCAGGTTGGCCAGTTCATAAAGTTTGATGAGACATCCTCCAGCCATGGTGGCCATACTTTGATGGGCAGCGTCCCTATCCAGGAGCTGCCTCGGCTGCATGAGAAAGTCCAGAGCTCCATGTTCTTCTGCTGAGTATATATAGCTTGCTGCTTTGGCATTCACCTTTATCATGTGCCGTGGCCTCACCTTTGGCATCAGCCGATGCCACCTGGCGGTTGCAGTAGCATTTAGAGTAGAAGTAGTCAGCAAATATAACCGTTAAGTTCATGGGGGAGCCCCTGCGTGAATAGTTTTTTGTATCGATGAATACATCAGTTCTGTTTTGTGATAGAATCACTATCTGTTCCTTGTTTTTTATCCTAGCATAGCTTTGTTTTTATCCTTTCTTTTTTGCACCTACCCATTCGTTCCGTAGGCTACAACTTTAAGAACCTGGGCGTGGCCCGTGAGGCTCGGCTGCTCATAACCATAGGTCGTGGTGGGGTGCGATCGGTTGGGAGTTAAAACAAAGTCACGTAGGGTAATCAAAGGAATGGAATGCCCTTTCGTTCGGGCAATGCCCTTTCATTCGGGTGAAAAGTATTTACCATGTGATAGTAAAAAAGAGAGGTGGTATCGCACCCTCATGGAGCCCCCGAGCGACCTGGGCCGAAAGTGTTCGGGCTGGGGTGCTTTATGGGAGCAAACGTTTAAAGGAAAGCGGTAAGACCAAATTTGGGAAAAAAACGACGTAACCGTTTGATATTCCAAGTGTTGGTGAGAATGTCGCCGTTGTCGTCCTTCAGTCGGTAGGTGCCCGGTCGGATCACCTCGATCACCGTATAGGGACCTTCCCATGGTGGAGAGAGTTTGTGCTTCTCCTTTGTTGATTGGGTCCTTCGGAGTACGAGATCACCGACCTCGAGGATTCTCCCCCTGATCTTCCTTTCGTGGTACCTACAGAGAGTCTGCTGGTAGCGAGCGAAGCAGATGACGGTCGTCTCATGGGCCTCCTCGAGCAGGTCGACCACGTCTTGCTGAGCCTCCGTGGCTCGGTCGCGGTCGAAGGCCCTCACTCTTAGGGCACCATGGTCGAGGTCAGAGGGAAGCACCGCTTTAGCTCCGTAGGCCAGGAAGAAGGGTGTGAATCCTATGGATCGGTTCAGGGTCGTTCTAAGGCTCTAGAGGATTGTTGGGACCTCTGCAACCCATCGCCCGGCATACT